CGGGCTGGGGGTCCCTCCCAAGCCCCCCGGGCAGCTGGCGTTGGCTGGGGGGATGTGAGGGCTGGGCCTGCTCAGCACAGCCCCGGCCTCGTGCCCAGCGCCTCTTTCCTGACCCACACAAGAGCTTCCTGAACCCCCAGGGCTCCCCTGCTGCTGCCTCTGCTCCTGGCCCTGCCTTTGCTGCTCCCTTGCCTGGGGCAGCGGCTGCAGGGGGGGATGGCAGCAGCTTCAGCTCCACGGCACTTCCTGGGGGGAGCTCAGCCCGGGGGGACGGGCAGGGACCTGATGGGGATGGACAGGGGCCCAGCAGGGACAGACAGGGCCTGCAGGGGAAGGCACAGGGACAACCTGGACCCCCACACTGCCAGGGCTGTCTCTGCTCCTCCTTGCAGGCTCCGTGGCCAGGCACAGTTGGTGTTCCTGGGTGCCCACCATCTCAGCACTTGGAGACGCTCAAATCAGCGCCCGCAGCTCTGCAGCAAAGCCCCAGCTCACCTGGCACACAGGGGATGGACACAGCACCTTCTCAGGGATGGGCATTCACAGCTTCTGTCTCTTCCCCACCACGGGGCTCTCCTTCCTCAGCAGCACCTCTGCCTTGCACTTATTCTCAGCCTCACCTCAGGGACAGCTCTGGGCTCACCTCCGCGCCACTTCTCAGCCTCACCTCAGGGCCTGGGCTCAAGGACAGGAACCTGCAGGGAGGGGACATCATGTGCAAGCTGAGGGCTGCCTGCTTGCACTGGCCTGGGGGCTTCTTTCTCCTTCTACAACCAGCCCAGAACTCAGCCTGCTTTTCTAACACCACACATATACAGACTAACCTTGCAGATAGATATGGACAGACATCTCCATCACCCTGGGGATGGAGCCTCAAGCATGTGCTGCCACAGGAATGGCAATCAGAGAATCACAGAATCAGCCACGTTGGAAAAGACCTCCGAGATCATCAAGCCCAACCCTGGATCCAACCCCGCTGTGCTTCCCAGACCATGGCACTGAGGCCACATCCACTCTCACCTTCAACACCTCCAGGGACGGGGACTCCACCCCCTCCCTGCCCAGCCCATTCCAAGGTCTCATTACTCTCTCAGTAAAAAATTCCTTCCCAATATCCAACCTAAACCTCCCCTGGCACAGCTCCAGACCCAGCCCTCTTGTCCTACTGCTGCTTCCTGCCAGAACAGCCCCACCTCCACCTGGCCACAACCTCCTGGCAGGGACTTGCAGACAGTCAGGAGGTCTCCCCTGAGCCTCCTCTTCTCCAGCCCCAACACCCCCAGCTCCCTCAGCCTCTCCTCACACCATCTGTGCTCCAGAGCCCTCCTGCCTTCCAGCACATCAACACACCCCCAGCTTGGGGTCACCTGCACATTTGCTGATGAAATGCCTGGTTCTGCAGGAGCTGGAGATGCTCAAGGGGCAGCAGGAACAAGTCAGGGGCCTGGGGGGCTTTGGGGTCTGGGAGGGTCCTGGGGGAGCTGGGGAGGGGCTTTGGGGATTGAGGAGTACAGATCAGTACAGATCAGTACAGACCAGTACAGTCCAGTACCCCCTCACTGCTCCCCAGATCTCTCCTGGAGCTGGGCCACGATGTTGGGGGACACCTGAGCCCCCCCAGTGCTCTCCCAGTACAGCCCAGTGCCCCCAGTACAGCCCACTGTGTTCCTGTCCCAGGGTGCCGGGTGATCCCTCTTGGGGGGGGGTTGGGAGGGATTTGAAGGAAGAGCTGGGGGAGATTTGGGGGGATCTGGAGGGGTTGGATGGGGATTTGGTGGGGCTTTGGGGGCATTTGGGGGAGTTAAAAGGGTCTTGTGGGCATTGGGGGGTCAAAGGGATCAGTGGGGGGAGGGGATTAAAGGAAAAAAAGGGGAGTTGGGGGACATTTGGTGGGGGGTTAATGGGGCCTAGAGGGGCAGAGGAGGGGCTTCCCTACAAGCAGGTCAGTCCTGAGACTCCCCTCATGTCCCCAAGACCCTTTTGGTGTTTCCAATTCCCCCCTTGACACCCCCAATTCCACTGTCCCCAAACCCCATCCCTGATGTCCCCAACCCTCCATCTCACCCCAGGAGCCCCCCCTGGACCCTCTGACCACAAAAACACCCCCCCCCCGGCCATAGAAAGGCCAAGGGCATCTGGGGACACACTGGGGACAGTTGGGGGGCTTTGGGGGCACTGGGGGATTACTGGGGGGTACTGGGACACACTGGGGGGAACCAGGGGGCACTGGGAGGGACTGGGGGTTACGGAGGGACACTGGGAGGGACTGATGAGTTACTGGGGGATTACCAGGACGCACACGGGGACACTGGCTGGTTACTGGGTGCACACTGGAGGATCACTGGGCCATACTGGGGGGCAGTGGGAGGTCACTGGGACACACTGGGTGGTCACTGAGGGGGTTACTGGGCTGTACTGAGGATCACTGGGAGTTCACTGGAATATACTGGGGGCACTGGGATCCCCTTACCCGGATGTGGTTCATCTCCCCCCTGCACTTTAGGGGGCACCCCCAGGACCCCTCCCCTGGGGGCTGGGGGACCCCATGAACCCCACTGCTGGGCTTTAGGGGACCCCCGGGCCCCCCTGGGGGGTCTCTGTGTGCTGAATTTTGGGGGTCTCTGGGGTTCGGGGCAGGCATTGGGATCCCCTTTCCCTGGGGTCGGTCTGCTGACACAGAGACCCCATAAAATCCCCTCAGAACCCCTGAAATCCCCTCAGAAATCCACCTCTGGACCCATCGAAACCTCCTCAAAACCACCTCAAATCCCCTCAGAGACCTCATCCCCCCCCCCAGGACCCCCTAAACCCTCTCAGTGACCTGCAAAACCCACCTGGAATCCCCAGGCCTTTTCAGGGACCCCCAAAACCCCCTCAGGGACCCTCAAAACCGTCTGGGACTCCCAAAATCCCACAAGAAACCCACAAAACTGCTTCAAAGACCCCCCCCAAAGGCCCCCCCAGGACCTCCCAGTTCCCTCGGAGATTCCAAAACTCCCTCAGGGATTCCCAAACACAATCATGGACCGTCAACCCCCTCCCCCCCTTAAGTCCCCTCCGGACACTAAACCCCTTCAGAGACCCCCCAAAACCTCCTCAGGGAACCCCCAGGGACCCCAAAACCAGAGAACAGCAGAAGAGCTTTCTGTAAAGGAAGAGAGCAGAAAATCTGAGAAGGAGACCAAGGAAAAACTGAAGCAAAGCAATAAAATCATCCTGGCTCTTGCAGTTTTTCCTTCACCTTTTTCTCACTTTTCCCTTTTTTAGGGTTCTTTTTTTGTTGGGTGGTTTTGATGTTTTTTTCCGAGGGACTTTCTCGGAATCGAATCGAACATCCGGGATCTTGGGAGGCCCCCGGGCCCCGCGGCCCCCGAGAGGGTTCCAAGGCCCCGCGCTCTGACCTTCGGGAACCCCCGAGCCCCCGCTAAACCCTCCCGAGCCCTCCAGCCTTTCCACCCACAGCCGCGCTCCCCGCAGCCCCCGAGGGGATCCCCAGACCCCGCTCTCCCGCACCCCCCGCCAGCTCTTACAGCACAATGCGGGCCCCGCCGCCATCAACGACTCCCGGAAGTCAACACGGCGCTCTGCGCGCGCACCGCGCTTAGAGAACACCGCCGCAGCCAATCAGCGCGCGGCCACGCCCCCGCACGGCCACCACCGCGGCTGCGCCCCGCGCGGGGCACCACGGGAGTTGTAGTCCTTGCGGCGGGTCACAGCGGCCATTTGCACGTGAGCGGAGTGAGGGTAATAAGGCTTTTGTTCTTTATTCCTTCTTTTTTGTTCTTTTTTCTTTCTGCTTTATTTTTTACCCTTTTTTCTTTTTTCTTTCTCTTTTTCTTTTTTCGTTTTTTCCTTTTTTCTTTCTTTTTTATTATTTGTCTCATTTTTCTTAGTTTTTCATGTCTTTTTTTCTCTTTTTTCTCATTTTTGATATGCTTCTCATTTTTTCCTGTCTTGGTTTTTTTTTTTCTTTTTCTATTTTTTCCTGTGTCCTCCTTTGTCCCTCCTTCCACCGGCTTTTTTTCTCTTTTTTCTCATTTTTTCTGTCTTTTTTCTCTTTTTTCTCCTTTTTCTGCTTTTTCTCTTTTTTCTTCCTTTTTTTCTTTTTTCTTTTTTTCCATTTTTTTTCCTTTTTTTTTTTTTTTTTTTTTTTTTTTTTTTTTCGTTTTGTTCTATCAGTTGTATTTTCAAGGAAGATATAAACACATATCAAAACAATCTCCAGGTACAAATCTTAAGACAACCGATAATCTGGCATTTTTCCAGGTTTGTGAGGGTTCCCAAGATCACAAACACTGAGACACAAAGGGTGCTCACACAAAAACCAGCTTTTCCTGCTTTTTTCCACAGGTAAAGCAAGTGTGGAAGGGGCACTTGGCCCCAGGCAAGAGGCTTTTACAGCCACTTTAGGCAGCCCAGAGTGGATCTGGCTGGCAAATGGGATTATGCCCATGCTTTCAAGGAGGATTTCCACAGTACATTGAGGGGAAACAGGGCCATTTCTTCATCTGCTGAAGGGATGAGAAGAGGGGGGAGCAGGTGCTGTGGCCCCAGAGCTTCTCTCTGCTTTGGGGACACTTCTGTGTTTTCCTCTGTCCATTGAATTCCCAACAAAGAAGGAAAAAGCTACAGGAACTCCAGTCTGGAGTGCTCAGGACATGTGGAAGCAGGGGAATTTTTCTTCCCAGCTGGGACTGAGAGTGCAATTCCACACTCCTTTGGAGAGCATTGACTGAGACAGCCCATTTCTGCCCAGGGATCTTCCAGGGGGAACTCAATCCGGGCTCTGGGCAGGGGCAGCAGCTTCCTCTGCACATTTGAGGGGATAAAGCTGCTCTAACCCTGCACTCCAACCACTCCACAGCAATTTAGGACCTCTGAGGACAGTTCCCCACTGTTTCCACCCCAGCAGAGACCTGAACACATCCCGTGGGCACTGTGTGACCACCCCTGGCATTAACACCCTGCAGGAATGAAGACACTGACTGTAAAGACACTTGTCTACCTGGAAACCTCCACTTTGTTTGCTACTATACAGCAATAACATTTTCTATTCATATTGCAGCTACAGACTTAACAAATAGAATTGCATATATTGTGCTTTAGAAATTAAAATGCACTCCAAAGTCAGGCAATGCTAAACAATGAAAGTCTTGAACCCTCCCCCCCAAACCAGCCCCACTTTCTGGTTTCAGAACCAGCCCACTTCCTCACTCTCTTCACAAAGGGAGAAACCTCATGTTTCCACCTCTGAAACAAAAACTCCCTCCCCAAAAGTGATCAGAAAGAGTCTACTTAGGCACTACTGCAAAGGGAAGTTCTCTAATAACCATTCCTTCTAACTCAGGAAGGGGAGGAGGTGAAGAAAGTCACGACAAATGTTTGGATTCCTTCCTCTTCGACGTGTTCTCTTCCCTATCTGACGCTCTGGGACATGTGCAGGGGGGTCAGCATCTCTTCAAAGATGGCTCCTTTCACATCAGAGCCCCTCAAATTGGCCTCCTGGAGGTCACAACCTGATAGGTCACAATTTGGAAGGGGAAAAGAAAAAGAAGTGTCAATGGAATGCACCCAGAACTCTGTTCAAAGCTTTACTTGAAGTCCATTTACCTGAACTCCATTGTACTCTGAAGCTGGAGAGGTCAGCCAAAAGCCAGCAATCCCCCAAATTCCCAGCTGACCATAGGAGAGAAAGGAATAGGATGGAAAATGAATCCCAACTCACTTCCCAATCAGTTCCTGCCAACGTTGCTCCCCTGAGGTTGCAGTTCTTTAGTTTGGCGTTTCTCAGTGTTGCAACTCGGAGGGTAATTCCTGTCATCTGACTGCCCTCCATGGCCACTCCTTTCAGGCTGGCACCTGGAACACACACAGAAAGGAGTTCTGTGAGGAAACACAGTCAGAAACACAGCAGCTGCACACTGGTGCTGCCTCAGAGCTGTGTGAATTGGAGGAGGACGAGGGGCTTTGGGGCTGAGATGGTCACAGACTCCGTGCAGCCCTTGTGGGCCCTTCTCAGGGTTGGACAAACCCCAGCTGGACCTTTTCTGGGCCATAGAAATGGACAAACACAGGCTTCAGTTGGCACAGATTCACAAGGCGAAAGCTCCTTACCTTCCAGATTAGCTTGAAGGCCTGATGGGTCCTCAGAGTCGCAGCCTTTCAGGGACGCTCCCTCTGCGCTGGAGCGCAGCATCTTCACCCCTGGCAGGTTGGCACACTGGCACAGACAGGAGTCACTGAGGGCCGGAAGAACAACACCAAAGACAATCAAGAAGACAGTTTTAATTTCTGCTTTGGGAGTCAATCCCATCAAATCATTACTGGGAGGAAGTGTAAAAGCTTTGGGAACCAGAACAACTCTAGAATATATTTAAGAACTCGATGTTTTACACCCCTCTGTTTGTTCCAGCTCCTCTCTGTTAACACAAGCCCAGCCCTCCCAAGCTGCAGCAGCTCTTCCATCCAGCACAGAGCCTGACAGGTCAGCCCTCTCCAGGCTGGCACAGCACAGGTTGGCACGGGCCAGGTTGCAGTGGCTCAGATTGGCCACCTTGAAGTTGATGCAGCAAAGATCCAGGTGGGAAAGATCCGCTCCACTGAAAGTGAGACCCTGGAAATCCCGAGGAATAAACCCCCCAAAAGGGTTACAGAGGGGAAGGGGTAGGTCTGGACACAAAGTTAACATCATTGTGTAGATGTGTGTATGTTAATATTTACAAAGTATATGTATAAATATATGGATAGAAATGTATTAAAATATATGCTGTCTATAAATATACACAGATACAAGATAGATACAGACACACACAGGGCCTGGGAGGAGCTGAAGACACCCCACCAGGGAAGGGGGCTTATAAAAAGGAGGGAGAGGGACTTTTTCTATGGGCCTGGAGGGACAGGACAAGGGGCAATGGTTTTTCAACTGAAAGAGGGCAGGGTTAGATGGGAGACTGGGAAGAAATCCTTCCCTGGGAGGGTGGGGAGGGGCAGGGATGGAATTCCCAGAGAAGCTGTGGCTGCCCCTGGATCCCTGCAAGTGTCCAAGGACAGCTTGGATCAACCTGCTCTAGTGGAAGGTGTCCCTGCCCATGGCAGGGGGTGGAATGAGAAGACCTTTAAGGTCCCTTCCAACCCAAACCAGTCCATGATTCTATACAGACAAATACACACAAGACCATTTATTCTACTACTTAAGACTAATGAAATCTAAATGCAAAGCTCTCAAAAATTGTCTTTGGTTCATTTTACATTTAAACAAACTGCTCCTCCAGGAAAGCTTCCCCCTAAAGCAGGAATGCAGCCCAAACCACCCTGGAATTCCAAGTCAAGGTCACTGTGCCACAGCTCAGAATCCAAACTCAGTTCAAGAGAACACATTGTTTGCATTTCACGTTGCCACATTCCAGCACCAGGCACCAACACTCCAGAGAGGGACAGCACAAGGGGCAGTGGGTTTAATAGAAAAGAGGGAGGTTTAGAGGAGATGTTGGGAAGAAATTCCCAGAATTTTGTTAGAAAGAGAAATGTGTTCTCACCTGACAGCGCAGCTCGGACTTGGGGGGTGTTGCCAGCAGGAACCGGACAAACTCCTTCTGAGAGGTGGGACAGTGATCCTCAGCTGGCTGGGAATTCTGTTGGGAATGTTGTTCAACAGCTGACACAGACAGCACTAAATTACACATCCCCTGCAAGGGCAGGGCAGGTGCATTCAGGTCTTCAAACAAATTACCTTCATGGCTATTTCCAGGTGTTTGATTAGTGAATCAACACCAAAAAACCTGGCTTCCTGCAGGACACCTGGAAACAAAGAGTTTGTTATTTCCAGGGAACTGTTAATCCAGAAATCACCCTTCTCCCTGCTGGAGAACAACCACAGCCATTGTATTAGATGTAACTGGGCAGAGGAAAAGCTTGCTTGCAGCTAAAAGGAAAAAAATCACTCAGCCAGGCTGTTTGCAACACCAGCATTGGGTTAAAGGTGTCAGCTCCAGAATTCCAGCCAAATATGAATCCAGGATGGACAACTTTTAATGCTCCCAAGATAAACAAAGAGCCTGTTTTCATTAAATCAAGCAATACCTTCATTAAATCAAGCAACGTGGAGCTGCAACGCTCGAGAATAAATCCTGAGGAAATAAACTCCAAAGAAAACCACAGAGATGAGCACACAAAGGTCCCTCTGGCTTCACCTGGAGGGCAAAGCTTAACTCCCAAAGAGGAATAATTCAGATGTCAGGCAGGTAATACCTACCTAGCAAATTAATGCCATCATTTACAAGGAGCTGTCCGTGACATAAATAGCTCAAAATGGGCTCAAAAGACTGTGGTCAGTTAGGAATGCTCCTCTATGATCCTGCTTGTTCCCCCAAGCATCTCTTTCCACAACATATATATATATAAAATTAAATAGGATATATTAATATATAGAATTAAATCTGATCTATTAATAGATTTGCTTCACTTGCAGAGTTTTATTACCAAAGGCAGCGGGATGTGAAAATTCCACGTCTGAAAGGGTGTTTTGTAAAGGAAGGAAAAGAGGAGTGGGGGGGGAAATCACCTTAAAATGAACTTGTTGCTGCTCTAAATAACTAAAATATTTTATCAAATGCATAAGAATTAAAGCAGCACTAAGGTTTGAGTTTGATTGTCTCCCAAAGGCTGCCCCGGGCAGTGTTTGCTCGTGGATTCTCCTGAGGAAACTGAGCAACAATAACATGAAAACCTAAAATCAATCAAACAAACAAACAAAAAAGCACCCAAAATACTAACTGTGGAGGGAAGTTGTATTTTCACTTTGTGAGATGATAAACAGGTGGGCAACAGAGAAATAAAAAATTATTAAAAGAATAATTCTATCTTCTTCTTTGGTACTTTAATATACTTCTGATATTTTAGATTCTTAGCTTGACAGTGCCTTTTGCTTACTTTGCTAATTTATTATTTAAAAACATAAAGTTTATTTCAATATACTCCCCTTTATCTTTAAACATGTGGGCCAACATGCTGTCAGGTTCTTTGTTAACCAAAGTGCTTCTAGAAAACAAAGGCAGAGCAATTTCATTTTTACTTCATATAAAAAGTGTTTACGAATTGATTTCATGCAAAACTGTGGTGGTGAACACAAAATACAGAGAAAGTGGCAGAAGTCAAAGACCTCCTACTTCATAAGAAGTTATTTTTCAAGCTCTTTTGCTGCACTGAAATCAAGTTGTTTTGAGACTAAAAGCATTTTGACCTTGTAGTGGTGAAGTACCTGCCTCCAACATTGGGTATCACCCTGTGTGGGACCCTGTCAGCTCCTCCTGAGCTCTGCCATCACTCTGGGACCCCCTGAAATACTCCCTGGACCCCCTTTTCGGGTCAAAACTGTCCCTTTTGGGCTTAATTTCCCAATTTTTGGGGGGCCCAAAGTGCCCCTTTTTGGATCCAAACTGTCCCTTTTTTGCCCCAAATTTCCCCTTTTTTTCCCCAAACTCCCCATTTTTGGTCCAAATTCCATTGCTTTCATTCAGTTTTCCCCTCTTTGGCTCTTTTTTTGTTACAAATTCCTCCCTTTTTGGCCCAAATACCAATCCCAGGACCCCCATATCCCCCAGGCCCCCCCAAGGGCCCCCCAAAGCCCCTCAGGGACCCCCCAAACACTTCCAGGACCCCCCAAAACCCCTTCAGGGCTCCCCAAACCCCATTTTATCTCCCCAAACCCTCCTGGGACCCCCTCAACTCCACAGATATTGAACCCCAGACCCCCCCAGTCCCCCCCAGTCTCACCAGTAAGGGGTCCCCACGAAGGAATTGGCTGGGGAGGCCACAGGGGCCGAGCTGAAGTCACCCAGTTTGACCAGTCCAGGGGGTGACAGGAGGATGTTCCCGGCCTTGATGTTCCTGCAGGGAGGACAGGGAGGTCACTGGGAGGGACTGGGAGGCACTGGGATGAACTGGGAGGGGATTGGGAAGGACTAGGAGGGAGTGAGAAGGGGGTTAAGTGGGAATTCATAGGGACCGGGAGGGACTGAGGGGGATTTGGGGGCACTGGGAGGGGATTTGGGAGGGGACTGGGAAAAAACTGGGATGGAACTGGGATGGACTGGGGGCTCTATAGGGCGGATCTCTGGGTCAGGGGGCTCCATGGGGTGGCTCCATGGGGTGGATCTATAGGGTCTCACCTGTGGATGACCCCCCAGACCCCGCAGGGATTTATGCATGAGCTCCTGTGATGAAGATGTTTATGGATCCCAGGATGGAGAGATTCATGGATCAGCTCCCGGGATTGATGGATTCCTGGATGAGCTCCAGGGATTGAGGAAGTCGTGGATGAGGTCCTGGGATTAAGGGATTTAGGAATGAGCTCCCAGGCTCCCTGGCATAGAGGGATTCATGGATCAGCTCCCAGGAATTAGGGCTGGAATTAGCAGGTGTTTCCTTAAGGTGCTACCATCTGGGAAGGGGACGAGGGAGGATTTGCCTCTGGATTCAGGAAGAGCAAACAGGAATTTCTCAACAGCAGGAGGTGCTTAATTAAAAAGGGACTGAGTAATTAGTGAGGGATAATTAATGAGATCGTTAATATGCAAATAAGGCATCACCTGGAGAGGGACCAAGGTGGGGTGTTCCCACCTTTCCCACCCCTTCCTGGGGCTCAATTCCCCCAGTTAAGGAGCAAATCCCGACTAAGGATCAAATCCCAACGAAGGATCGGATCCTAATTAACAGCTGGATCCTAATTAATGATGAGACCCTAATTAGGGCTGGTGGGTGGGGCCTGGGGGGGTTCATCACCTTTGAAGCAGGTGATGAAGTTCTTCACTTTGGTGTCATCCAGGAAAAGCTGTGGAAAAGAGGGGAAAAGCCTCAAAACACTCAGGTCTGTCCTGGGATTAGTTTGGGATCTGTCTAGGGTGTGTCCTGAGTCTGTTTGGGGTCTGCTTGGGATCCATCCAGGATCCATCCGGAATCTCCCACAGATCCACTGGGGATCTGTCCCACCCCTATAAACACCCAGATTCCCTACAGACCCCCCCGTATGGACCCCCCCCTCATATAGACACCCAGACCCCTATAGCCCCCCCACCCCTATAGACCCTGAACCCCCCTTTAGACACCCCCACACCCTTATAGACACCCACACCCCCACACCCCCCCCAAGACCCTCAGACCCCCTAAAGCACCCCCACAGACCCTGCTCACCCCTACAGACACCCCCCCATAGACACCCCCATACGCCTATAGACACACAGACTCCACACTGACACCCCCCATAGATCCCACTCACCCATATAGTAACCCCCACACCCCACAGACCCTCCACACCCCATATATCCGCCCGTAGCCACCCCTACAGACCCACCCCATAGTCACCCATCCCTACAGACCCCCCCAATACCTCTAGAGGTCTCAGATCCCCTATAGACCCCCACCCACCCCTATAGATCCTCAATCCCCCTCTAGACACCTCCACAGACCCTCCGCAACCCATATATCCCCCCACAGCCACCCCTACAGACCCACCCCACAGTCACCCACCCCTATACCCCCTATAGCTCCCCTACAGACCCTCAACACCCCTACAGATGCCCCTCAAGGCCCCCCCACCTGTTCCTGATGGAACCCCGGCCCCCAGAGCCCCGCCCCTGTCGTGACAGGTGACACCGGCCCCCAGAGCCCCGCCCCTGTCGTGACAGGTGACACCGGCCCCCAGAGCCCCGCCCCTGTCGTGACAGGCGACAGCAGGCCTGGCAGATGGCACAACCCGGAAGTGGCACCACGGGGGACTGGAATAGCGGCGGCACCGCGGGGGGGGGGAGGGAAACGGAACCGGCTGTGGAAGGGCCAGGGGGTCACAGGAGTGGGGCCCCCCTGGGATCGGCACCTATAGAACCCTATAGAAACCGCCCACCCCTCCGGGAACGGGCACAGACACCTGTACAACCCTACAGGTACCTCTGCACCCCTACAGACACCCACCCACCCACATAGACCCCTGGAAACGGGTATAGGCACCTATAGAACCCTATAGAAACCCAGGGAACGGGTATAGACACCTATAGGACACTACAGACATGTTGGGAATGGCTATAGGCACCTATAGAACTTTTTAGGCTGCCGCCCGCCCTGGAGATCCTCAGCCCTCCTATAGACACCCCAACCCCTTTAGACCCCCCTGACTCCTACAGACACCCCCCCCCATAGAACCCACAACCCTTACAAAGCCTCACACACCACCCCAATATTTCTATTACCTGAATCACCAGGGACAAGTGAGGAGGGTCTATAGGAGTGGGTGTCAATGGTGAGGGTCTGTAGGCCTTGGGAGTGTCTATAGGGGTGCAAAGGGTGTCTATAGGGGCACACAGGGGCCTATAGGGTGTGTGGGTTCTATAAGCAGTTGTAAAGGGTGTACTTTTGACTTAGATAATCGATGGAGAATAGAGGGGTCAGAAAGTAATTATATTATATTTTTTATAATATATTATTTTAATAATATACTATATATATTATTTATAATATATTTTTATAATATATTATATATATATTATATATAATATATATTATTTTTTATAATATATTTTATTTTCAAGTGTTTGAATGTCTGTTGTCCTTGTCTTTATTCCGGGCATGTATTCAAACAAACTAATACATGGGGGCACAGCTCTTTGGGGAAAGAGATGGGCAGCAGCCTTGCCAGGACTCTGGGCGGTGGCAGGTCTCCTCTGGCCAGGACTTGCCAAAACTGCTGATTTGGGTGCAGCCCTGGCCAAAGGGCTCCCAGCAGCATTGGTGCCCTTGCCCACACCTTCCTTCTCGGTGTCAGCCCCCCTGTTTAGGATGGCCACCAGCCAGCACTTCTCCCAAGGAGGCCGTGCCAGCTTGTGTGGAAGGCCCCGTGCCCTTCCCGCTGTGGCTGAGTCGGCGGCCGAGGGGGCTCCTTGTGCTGCCGTGAGCAGGCACAGGAGGGGAGTGTTTGCTTGAGCCGTTCCTACAGTTCAGGTCCAGCCAGATTAGATACTTCAGAGAGTGGATTCCCTCCAAGGTGGG